CTCCGGAATAGAATTCCGTTAGCTCCGTTGAGTGATTTTGGTAGGGGCGTGTCTGGATTGTGTTTTTGAGGTCAGTAGCACATTTAGGCTTGAAATGGCGAAAGTTGAATTTTTGGAGTTTCGGGCCGATAGTGGAACTTTTGATATCGGGGTCGAAATCCGATTCCGAAAGTTGGAGTATGTCCGTAGTGTTGAATATGACTTGTGTGCAAAATTTGGGGTCAATTGGACGTGGTTTGGTCGGTTTCGGCATCGGTTGTAGAATTTTGAAATTTCAAGTTCATTAAGTTTGGATTGGAGGGTGATTCGTGATTTTAGCATTGTTTGATGTGATTTGAGGGCTCAACTAAGTTCATATGGTGTTTTAGGATAGGTTGGTATGTTTGGTTGAGGTCCCGGAGGCCTCGGGTGTGTTATGGATGCTCAACGGGACATTTTTGGACTTAAAAAGTCAGTAGATTTCGCTGGTGTTTCTGTTGCAGAAGATCCTTCTTCGCGATCGCATGAGAACGCTCACAATCACGTAGAGCATTTTAGGAGACCGGCTAAGTTGTTATTCGCGTTCGCTAAGATAGGGATGTGATCGCGTAAGTTCATCAGGTGATGCATCGCGAACGTGTGGGCTAAGTAGCGTTCGCATAGAGTTAAGTGGACCTAAGCTGGGGCCACGCGTTTGTTCATCACGAACACGATGCGTGGTCTGCGATCGCTTAGTTGGGAGAGTCAGAGCATCGCGATCACGTGGTGTTTTACGCGTTCGCTTAGGGTAAATTCATGAGGCAACGAAGTTGTTCTTCGCGATCACGAGGGTGTTTCCGCGATCGCGATTAAGGAATCACTGGGTAGAATTTAAAGTTCAAATATGAGGTTTTGAGTTCATAACTCCAAAATTTGATTGAGATTTCGGTAGAAGGCGAACTTTGGAGAGATTTTTGGAGGAAGTTTGTGGGTAATGATTTCTAACTCATTTTTTATTATATCCCATTAATCTAAGCTTAATTTCATCATTTAATTTCGAATTTGGGGTGCAAATTTGGAAAATTTTGAGAAAAGTTCTTAGGCCGAATTTTGGGATTTTTGATCGAGATTTTGGTATCGGATTTGAGTGAATTTGGTATGGTTAGACTCGTCAGTGAATGGATATTCATAATCTGTAACTTTTACCCGATTTCGAGACGTGGGCCCGGGGAGGATTTTTGGGTGTTTTTCTATTTTCTTGCCCTAGCTTTGATTTCATTAGCTAAATTAGTTGCTTGTAGCTATATTTACGTTATGTAATTTATTTGATTAGATTTGGGCCACTCGGAGTTGGATACTCGTGGCAAGAGCATGATTTCGGATTGTTTTGAGCTTGGTTCGAAGTAAGTGGCTTGCCTAACCTTGTGTGGGGAAACTCACCTTAGGATTTGGTACTGTTTGATATATGAATGTCGTGTACGTGAGGTGACGAGTGCGTACACGGGCTATTTGTTGAAAAACCCCGTTCATTAAGCAAAATATTTTTTCCTTTAATTGAGAAATACTAGTATATGTAACTATCATCTTTAGCTTAGGAAAGCATGCCTACGTGCCTTAATTGTCTTAATTGCCTACCTGAACTCTATGCAGCATGTTTAGTGCAAAACTACCTGTCTTCTTTGATATGAACTTAATCTAAACTTTAGAATTCCTTGTTGAAACTGTTGTTTATGTTGATTGAATTGTATATTTACTTTGGAACTACGGAACGGTATTCCGGAATATCCCCCTGCACGTTTATGTTTGGCACTATGGGACGATATCCCGGGAGATCCTCCTATACTGGATATTTACTTTGTGACTAAGGAACGGTATTCCGGGAGATCCCCCTACACATTTACGTTTTGGACTACGGGACGGTGCCCCGGGAGATCCCTGTACATTTACGTTTGGGACAACGAGATGGTATCCTAGGAGATCCCCTGTTGCCGTCTCTGTGTACCGAGTTGTTGTTTTTCTGTGATTTCATTCTCGTTGACTGTTAGTATTTATCTTTACTGCGATATTTCATACTGTATCATCTTATTATACATATATACCAGTAGGGCCCTGACCTGATCTCGTCACTACTCGACCGAGGTTAGGCTTGGCATTTACTGGGTACCGCTGTGGTGTACTCATGTTCTTTCCTGCACATGTTTTTCGTGTGCAGATCCAGGTACCTCTTCCCAGCCGTATTTCCAGTGAGGCGAGGCGATTTTAGAGACTTCGAGGTATATCTGCCTCGTCAGCAGACATAGGAGTCCCTCTCTACTCTTCCTTAAGTTAAAGACTTTCTTATATTTTCTTCGTTGATAGTTTCTGGAGTATAGAAGCACTATTTACTTCTGTAGCTTGTGACTCATGATATTCCGGGTTTTGGGAGCATTTATGTTCCGTTCGAGAGTAATTATTGTATATGCCGAGCGGCAACTAAACTTCTTAATTAAATTTACCTATTAAATTGTTAGTTTTCATGTTTTCGTTTCATTTCCGCAAAATGATAGCCTTACCTTGTCGTAGAGACTAGGTGACGTCATGACGGTTCATGGAGGGCGAACTTGGATCGTGACAAGTTGGTATCAGAGCTCTAGGTTCATAGGAGTCATGAGTCACAAGCCGGTTTATTAGAGTCTCGCGGATCGATACGGAGACATCTGTACTTATCTTTGGGAGGCTATGGAACTGTTAGGAAAATACCACTTCATTTGATTCCTTGTCGTGTGAGATTATTGACTTGGAAATTCTAAACTTCCGCTTATATTCTCTCACAGATGGTGAGAACACGTGCTACCGGAGATGACCAGGCACCCACGCCCCCTGCTAGAGCTGCCAGAGGCCGGAGCCGGGGTAGAGGAGGAGGACGCGCACGTGGTGCAGCCAGAGCACCCGCACGAGCTGCTACAGAGGAGCCACCAGTAGCTCCAGTCGGAGCCCATGTGCCTGATACGCTTACTACTACTACTACTACTACTACTACTACTACTACTACTACTACTACTACTACTACTACTACTACTACTACTACTACTACTACTACTACTACTCCAGCTCTCCAGGAGACCCTTGCACAGTTCATGAGCATATACAACACTCCAGCTCAGGCAGGGTTGATTCCCCTTGTTGCAGCCATATCTCACGCCGGGGGAGGAGCACAAACTCCCGCCGTAAGGCAGCAGTTTCAGAGGAGGAGCAGCGAATGCTTGAGAGGTACAAGAAGTACGACCCTTCTACATTCAATGGTCTAGCATCAGAGGTTGCTTAGGGATTTCTGGAGGAGTGCCACCATATCCTTTGCACTATGGGTATAGCAGAGTCGAGTAGGGTTTCTTTCACTGCCTTCCATCTTCGAGGGGCAGCCTATCAGTGGTGGCGTACTTTTGAGTTGGACATTCTGACTGAGGCAGCTTCCCTTACATGGACCCAGTTCTCGGATATGTTTTTGAGGGAGTATGTCCCTCAGAGCCTCAGGGAACCATGGCGCACATAGTTTGAGCATTTGCGCCAGGGTACTACGACTATTTCGGAGTATGCTATCCGTTTCAGTGACTTGGCTAGACATGCACCGGCCTTGGTTTCTATAGATCGAGGGAGAGTTCACCGGTTTATTGAGGGGCTCATACCCAGCATCAGGTCTAGCATGGCCCGGGAGTTAGAGATGGTATCGCCTATCAGCAGGTGGTGAGTATTGCTAGGAGAGTAGAGGGCATGCTTGCTCGGGATAGAGAGGAGAGAGAGGTCAAGAGGTCTCGAGAGTCGGGCCATTATTCTGGTGCCTGTGCCCCAGCTGCAGTTCGTCATGGTAAGGGTTATGTGAGTCGCCCCGTTCATTCAGCTCTTCCAGCAGCCAGTGGTATTTCAGCTCCTCCTAGACCTCAAGAACAGCTCCTCCTAGACCTCAAGAGCCTTATTATGCACCTCCAGTATCTAGTGCGCCTCCTGCACGGGGTGCTTTCAGTGGTCATTCCAGTAGACCTGGCCCGAGTCAGTCACAGCCGCCTCCTAGAGCTTGTTCTGAGTATGGCGACACTCGCCATATGGTGAGGGATTTACCTAGGCTTAGGAGGGGTGCACCTCCACAGACTTCTCAGCCACAACGTGCTCCACAAGGTTCCCAGGCTATGATCACAGCACCAGCTGCCACCCCACCTGCTCAGCTAGCTAGAGGTGGAGGTCGGGGAGGTAGAGGTCGCCCTAGAGGGGGAGGCCATGCCAGATACAATGCCCTTCCTCCCAGTACACAGGCTGTTGCTTTCGATTATGTTATTACAAGTATTGTTCCGATCTATCATAGAGATGCATCGGTTCTATTCGATCCAGGCTCCACTAATTCCTATGTGTCCTCCTATTTTACCCTACATTTGCGCGTATCTCGGGATTCTTTGAGTTCCCCTATTTATGTGTCTACTCCCGTGGGAGATTCTCTTATTGTGGACCGCGTTTATCGGTCGTGTTTGATTGCTCTTAGTGGTTTTGAGACTAGAGCCGATTTATTATTGCTCAGCATGGTAGATTTTGATGTTATCTTGGGCATGGACTGGTTGTCGCCCCATTATGCTATTCTTGATTGTCACGCCAAGACCGTGACACTGGCTATGCCAGGTTTACCGCGATTAGAGTGGAGGGGTACTTTAGATTACACTCCCAGTAGAGTTATTTCATTTCTTAAAGCTCAGCGAATGGTTAAGAAGGGGTGTGATGCGTATCTAGCTTATGTGAGAGATGTTAGTATTGACACCCCTACAGTTGATTCAGTCCCAGTAGTGCGGGATTTCCCTTATGTGTTTCCAGTTGATCTTCCGGGCATGCCGCCCGACAGAGATATTGATTTTGGCATTGATTTGTTGCCGGGCACTCAACTCATTCCTCCTTATTGTATGGCTCCTCCTGAGTTGAAGAAGTTGAGGGAACAGTTATAGGAATTGCTTGATGAGGGCTTAATACAGCCCAGTGTGTCACCTTAGGGTGCTCCTGTCTTGTTTCTGAAGAAAAAGGATGGTTCTATGCGTATGTGCATTGATTATTGCCGGTTGAACAAAGTTAGAGTGAAGAACCAGTATCCTTTGCCTCGTATCGATGACCTATTTGGTCTGTTACATGGTGCTCGAGTATTTTCCAAGATTGATTTGCGTTCAAGTTATCATCAGTCGAAGATTCAGGAGCCGGATATCCCGAAGACTGCTTTCGGGAATCGGTATGGTCATAATGAGTTCCTTATTATGTCATTTGGGCTGACCAACGCCCCAACAACAATTATGCATTTGATGCACAGTGTATTCCGGCCATATCCTGACTCGTTCGTTATTGTCTTTATTGATGACATTCTGGTGTACTCCTGGAGTCGGAAAGATCATGAGCAGCACCAGAGGACAGTGATTCAGACCTTGAGAGAGAAGAAAATATATGCAAAGTTCTCAAAATGTGAGTTCTGGTTGGATTCCGTGGCATTCTTGGGTCACGTAGTGTCGAGTGAAGGGATCAAAGTGGATCCGAAGAAGGTGGAAGTAGTGCAGAGTTGGCCCAGACCATCCTCAGCTATAGAGATCTATAGTTTTCTTGGTTTGGCGAGTTATTACCGTCGATTTGTTGAGGGATTCTCATCTATTGCAACACCTATGACCAGGCTTACCCAGAAGGGTGCTCCATTCAAGTGGACGGAAGAGTGTGAGGAGAGCTTTCAAAAGCTTAAGACAGCTTTGACTACAGCCCCAGTATTGATATTGCCTACAGGTTCAGGGTCTTATACAGTCTAGTGTGATACGTCGCGAGTTGGCCTCAGTGAGGTGTTGATGCAGGACCGTAAGGTGATTTCCTACGCGTCCAGACAGCTGAAGGTGCATGAAAAGAACTATGTTGTCCACGACCTTGAGTTAGCTGCTATTGTTCATGCCTTGAAGATTTGGAGGCACTATTTGTACGGTGTCCTTTGTGAGATCTATAGTGACCACCAGAGTTTGTAGCATTTGTTCAAGTAGAAGGATCTTAATTTGTGTCAGAGGAGGTGGTTAGAGCTACTTATGGATTATGATATCACTATTTTGTACCACCCAAGGAAGGCCAATGTGGTGGCCGATGCTTTGAGTCGCTGGGCAGAGAGTTTGGGGAGTTTGGCTTATCTACCTACAGCAGAGAGGCCCATGGTGTTGGATGTTCAGGCCTTAGCCAGCCAGTTTGTAAGATTGGATATTTCCGAGCCTAGTCGAGTATTGGCTTGTGTGGTCTCTCGGTCTTCTCTTGATGATCGTATGAGGGAGCGTCAGTATGATGACCCCCGTCTGTTTGTCCTTAAGGACACTGTTCAGCACGGTGATGCTAAGGAGGTTACTATTAGGGATGATGGTGCTTTGAGGATGCAAGGCAGACTATGTGTGCCTAATTTAGATGGTTTATGTGAGTTGATTCTTCAGGAGGCTCACAACTTGCGGTACTCTATTCATCCGGGTGCCGCGAAGATGTATCAGGACTTGAGAAAGCATTATTGGTGGCGTAGAATGAAGAAGGACCTAGTATAATATGTTGCTCGGTGCCTAAATTGCCAACAGGTGAAGTATGAGCAACAACGGCCGGTGCATTGCTTCAGAAGTTGCAGATTTCGGAGTGGAAATGGGAGTGGATCACTATAGATTTTGTTGTTGGACTCCCACGGACCCAACGAAAGTTTGATGCAGTTTGGGTAATTGTAGATAGGTTGACTAAGTCAGCTCATTTACTTCCTGTGATGACTACATATTCTTCCGAGTAGCTGGCTCGAGTGTATATCCGTGAGATTGTCAGACTTTATAGCGTGCCGGTATCTATCATCTCTGACTGGGGCACGCAGTTTACATCACGGTTCTGGAGAGCCGTACAACGTGAGTTGGGTACTCGGGTAGAGCTGAGCACATCATTTCACCCCCAGACGGACGTACAGTCCAAGCGCACTATTCAGATTCTTGAGAATATACTCCGTGCATGTGTGATGGAGTTTGAAGGTTCTTGGAATCAGTTCTTGCCACTTGCGGAGTTCGCCTGCAACAATAGTTATTAGTCTGGTATTCAGATGGCACCGTATGAGTCTCTGTATGGTAGGCGGTGTCAGTCCCCAGTGGGTTGGTTTGAGCCGAGCGAGGCTAGATTATTGGGCACAGACTTGGTTCAGGACGCCTTGGAGAAGGTTAAGGTGATTCAGGATAGACTTCGCATACCCAGTCCAGATAGAAAAGTTATGCGGACCGAAAGGTTCGCGATGTTTCATTTATGGTTGAAGAGAGGGTCTTGCTTTGGGTTTCTCCTATGAAGGGCGTTATGAGATTCATAAAGAGGGGCAATTTGAGCCCAAGGTTCATTGGTCCCTTTGAGGTGTTGCGTCGTGTTGGGGAGGTTGCTTATGAGTTTGTCTTACCTCCCAGCTTGGCAGGAGTTCATCCACTATTTCATGTTTTGATGGTCCGGAGGTATCACAATGATCTGTCTCACGTGTTAGATTTCAGCTCAGTCTAGTTGGACAATGATCTATCTTATGTTGAGGAGCCAGTGGCTAATTGGACAGGCAGGTTGAAAAGCTGAGGTCAAAGAGCATTGAATCAGTGAAGGCTTAGTGGCGGGGTCAGGCGATCGAGGATTCGACTTGGGATACCGAGCAGGATATGGGCAGCCATTATCCTCATCTTTTCACCACTTCAGGCATGTCTCTATGCTTGTTCGAGGATGAACGAATGTTTTAAGAGGGGGAGGATGTAACGACCCGATCGGTCGTTTTGAGAATTAACGCCCCGATCCCCTATTAACTGCTTCCCCGTATCTATTTTCTGCTATTGTGATTTGCCGGGATGATTCATTTTGAGTTTCGGAGTGTTTTGGGACATTTAGTCCCTAAATGAAAGCTTAAGTCTTAGAATTTGGATCATTGTCGGAAAAGTGTAAAGACGGATCTAGAATGGAATTTCGTCAATTCCGTTAGCTCCGTTGGGTGATTCTGGGCTTAGGGGCGTGTTCGGATTGTGTTTTTGAGGTCCGTAGCTCATTTAGGCTTGAAATGGCGAAAGTTGAATTTTTGGAGTTTCGGGCCGATAGTGGAATTTTTGATATCAGGGTCAGAATCCGATTCCGGAAGTTGGAGTAGGTCCGTAGTGTTTAATATGACTTGTGTGCAAAATTTGGGGTCAATCGAACGTGGTTTGGTCGATTTCGGCATCGATTGTAGAATTTTGAAATTTCAAGTTCATTAAGTTTGGATTGGAGGATGATTCATGATTTTAGCGTTGTTTGATGTGATTTGAGGGCTCGACTAAGTTCGTGTGGTATTTTAGGATTGGTTGGTATGTTTGGTTGAGGTCCCGGGGGCCTCGGTTGTGTTTCGGATGCTCAACGGGACATTTTTGGACTTAAAAAGTTGGCAGATTTTGCTGGTGTTTCTGTTGCAGAAGATCCTTCTTCGCGATCGCGTGAGAAGGCTCGCGATCGCGTAGAGCATTTTAGGAGACCATCTAAGTTGTTCTTCGCGTTTGCTAAGACAGGGATGCGATCGCGTAATTCAATAGGTGATGCGTCATGAAAGCGTGGGCTAAGTCGCGTTCGCGTAGAGTTAAATGGACCTAAGCTAGGGCCACACATTTGTTCATCGCGAACGCGATGCGTGGTCCGCGATCGCGTAGTTGGGAGAGTCAGAGTATCGCGATCGCGTGTTGTTTTATGCGTTCGCATAAGGTAAATGCATGAGGCAGCGAAGTTGTTCTTCGCGATGGCGAGGGTGTTTCCGCGATCGCGATTAAGGGATTGCTAGGTAGAATTTAAAGTTCAAAAACGAGGGTTTGAGTTCATAACTCCAAAATTTGATTGAGAGCTTGGTAGAAGGCGGAATTTGGAGAGTTTTTTGGAGGAAGTTTGTGGGCAATGATTCCTAACTCCTTTTCGATTATATCCCATTAATCTAAGCTTAATTTCATCATTTAATTTCGGATTTGGGGTAAAAATTTAGGAAAATTGAGAAAAGTTCTTAGGCCGAATTTTGGGATTTTGATCGAGATTTTGGTATCAGATCTGAGTGAATTTGGCATGGTTAGACTCATGAGTGAATGGGTGTTCATAATTTGTGACTTTTACCCGATTCCGGGAAGTGGGTCCGGGCAGGATTTTTGGGCGTTTTTTATCTTTTTGCCCTAGCTTTGATTTCATTAGCTAAATTAGTTGCTTGTAGTTGTATTTACGTTATGTAATTGATTTGATATATTTGGGTCGGTCGGAGTTGGATACTCGTGGTAAGAGCGTGATTTCGGATTGATTTGAGCTTGGTTCGAGGTAAGTGGCTTGCCTAACCTTGTGTAGAGGAACTCCCCTTAGGATTTGGTACTGTTTGATATATAAATGTCGTGTACATTAGGTGACGAGTGCGTACACGGGCTATTTGTTGAAAAACCCCATTTTCATTAAGCAAATATCTGTTTTCCTTTAATTGAGCAATACTAGTATATGTAACTATCCTGTTTAGCTTAGGAAAGCATGCCTACATGCCTTAATTGTCTTAACTACCTACCTGAACTCTGTGCAACATGTTTAGTGCGACATTACCTATTTTCTTTGATTTGAAATTAATCCTGTAGAATTCCTTGTTGAAATTGTTGTTTATGTTGATTGAGTTGTATATTTACTTTGGGACTACGAAATGGTATTCCGGGAGATCCCCCTGCACATTTATGTTTAGGACTACGGGATGGTATCCCGGGAGATCCCCCTCTACTGGATATTTACTTTGGGACTACGGAACGGTATTCCGGTAGATCCCCTTGTACATTTACATTTGGGACTACGGGACAGTACCTCGGGAGATTCCCTGTACATTTACTTTTGAGACTACGAGACGGTATCCCTGGAAATCCCCTATTGCTGTCTTTTTGTACTGAGTTGTTGTTTTTCTGTGATTTCATTCTCGTTGACTGTTAGTATTTATCTTTACTATGATATTTCGTACCGTATCATCTTATTATACAAATATACCAATTGGGCCCTGACCTGATCTCGTCACTACCGAGGTTAGGCTTGGCACTTACTAGGTACCGCTGTGTTGTACTCATGCCCTTTCCTGCACATATTTTTCTTGTGCAGATCCAGGTACCTCTTCCCAGCCTTATTTCCTATGAGGCGAGGCAATTTTAGAGACTTTGAGGTATATCTACCGCGTCCTCAAACCTAGGAGTCCCTCTCTACTCTTCCTTAAGTTAAAGACTTTCTTGTATTTTCTTTGTTGATAGTTTCTTGAGTTTAGAAGCACTATTTACTTCTGTAGCTTGTGACTCATGATACTCCGGGTTTTGGGAGCATTTATGTTTAGTTCGAGAGTGTTTATTGTATATGTCGAGCGGCATCTAAACTTCTTAATTAAATTTACCTGTTAAATTGTTAGTTTTCATGTTTTCGTTTCATTTCTGCAAAACGTTAGGCTTACCTAGTCGTAGAGACTAGGTGCCGTCACGACGGTTCACGGAGGGAGAACTTGGGTCATGACAATCTAGGATAGAGTTCTCTCGAGTAAGGAGTCCTTTTCCTTATCATTTATGCAACCTTTTTGTTAAGGAGATATCAGATATAACCACTTAAGCTTATCTTCTTCACTTGCATGCCTTGTGCTCGAATCTGCCCGTGTCTGTGTACACTGTGTATGGACCTGCTTTATGCTTGAGTTCCTTTGTCAATCATCAAAATAAACTTCACTTGGGCCAACAAATTCCCCCTTTTGATGATGACAAACTCTGTGCTTTTCATAAGCATAAGTCCTGTTTCAACTCAGCTCAACATCAACACAATGTTAGAACACTTTCCATTCTAAAGTCACTAATCATCAAGGGCTATGTTTATTAGGTTATAAACATCACAGTTTAAAGTAAAAGCACAACCTATCTTTTCCGTTTTGGCATCATCGAAACGTTGCATAATTATGTTAGATAACCAGATTTTACTAGATATTACTCATGGTCACTGAGGCTACTTCAAATGCAATCATGGAGTCAAGCATCATATATCAATCAAATGATATTTGCTATCTAAGAAGCATCAACAAATAGTTAGAGCACAAAAATAGTTGATTAACATTGATACTACTCATCCATAAAGCATAAAGAAAAATAACAATACTGGATCATGAGCAAAGAGAGCAAAAGAAAATCCCATCGGGTCAATGGTTTGTCTAACTAAGCTAGGAAGGTTTCGAGGCTGGGAAGGACTAGGTTCTTGGTTTCTGGCCTGAAGTAGCTTCAGCATATCATGAAGAATGCCTTCATTCTTCTTCTTCTCTCTTGCAAGATCAGCCCTGAGAGCATCCCTCTCAATTTCTACTTCAGCCAGCCTGTTCTTCAGCCTCTCAATCTCAGCATCCTTAGTCCCACTCTTCTGCACCAAGGCTCTCACTTTGCTATTCACAGGCACTATCTTAGATGAACCAGGTTCTTTGGCAGCAGCCTGAACTTCATAGTCACAAGTAGCCAAAGTATTTTCTCCAAAATAATCCTTGCTTGTACTAACATCCTATTTCTTGACGGGTACCTTGAAGTGAGGAAGTACAGCCGTGAGAATGAAACCGTAGGGTATGGCATGAGCTTTGGTGCCAATTAGAACCCTATCAAGAAACAAGATGATAAACCTAGGCCAATTGGTCTGCCTCCTACTATCTAGGCATTCCATAAGGACCAGGTCCATGAATGTGACAATGTGCCTTCTTTCCTGCCTGGGCAGCACAACTTTGATAATAAATTCAAATAACACTTTATGGGGTGGCTTTATCTCACTTTTGTATACAGCCTTGGGCTGAAGCTCTTCTTTATTGTCACCAAACTTCCTTGTAATGGCAAGTGAGGTGGAGAGGTTTTTTAGGCTTGGTCATTTTAACTTTTTGTAGTCATTGTACCCTTCAGCAGGTACTCCCAGAATTTCTCCCAACTCCTTGTTATCAAATCTCACACTCACCCCCTTTACCACACTGGTGACTCTGCCATTTTTGATCTCACAACTGGCCAAGAACTCCACAATCTCAGTTTTGGCAAGCTTTCCATCAATCTGAAGGACCATGTCCTTCCAACCCTACAGTTGTAGTTTATCCAGCATCATCATCATCTCTTCCTGCTCCAAGTCCCTGAGGAGTCTACTTTTCAAGATGGTTCTTTTCCCAAACTTAACCATCTTGTCCTTCTCTTCATCAGATTCCTCTTCGTCTTCACTCTCTTCTTCCTCCACTCCTTTCACTTTTCTAGACTTCATGGCAGAACTGGTTCTTTTTGCCAAGGTAGAAGGTTCTGCAGACTTTGTTTTCGGAAGAGACTTCTTTTTGGAAGTCTTGATTTTCTTAGCTTTTGGAGTAACAACCTCCACCTCTTCAGCCACCTCTTCATCATGAAGGACTAGGTCCATCTCCTTAATTTCAATTGCCTCCACAGGCTCACTCACCTTCTTCTTCCCTTTTCCAGCAGCTTTTCTTTTACTTTCTTTCAAGGCCTTTTCAAGTTTAGCCTAACTCTGCTTCTTCTGACTCCTTGTAGCTCTTCCTCTTGTGGGAGGAGTCTTTAGAAGAATAGAAGAGGCGGCCTTTCTCTTCTTGTTTGCCTTAGCAGTTCCAAGGATTTTAACTCCTGAACTTTTCTTCCTCTTTGGATTATAGCTGTCAAACACACGTTTCTGTAGGTCTTCAAGGGGTTCCTGTACTGATGGAACAGGTTCTTAAACATTTTTCCCAACCTAACCAACCCATCAGCAGCTTCTCCACATCCACTACCCCCTTTACTTCTCAAATTTTCTTCTTCTCCAGCAGATTCCTCACTCCACACTACCATAACTCCTGTTTCTTCAGTCAAGCTAACCGGAGTGGGTGAGGATTCAACCATTGCTTGTTATCCCTTTCCCTTCGCATCACCTTGAGCACCCTCATTCTCTTATTCTTTTATCCTTTCATTTTTACCACCAGTTTCAGCCCTAGCAATAGTTCCCACCAGAACAAACCTATTTTCCGGATTTTTAGCAACCTCCGAGATTATTTCATATGTAATTTTAGGGCCAGATGTTACCTGCTCTATTTCAGAAGAAACAATTTCTTCCCCACAGTAGCAGACTTAAATGATTCTTCAGATTTTTGGGGTTCTTGTGCCTGGCTTGCTTTCAATTGTTCATCTAACTTCTTGGGTAATTCACTCCCTGCCATAGTCTTACGAGCAAGTATCTTGAATCTTCCTTTCATAGAGAGAGATGGGGTTGAGGGTGTGTTGAAGGTGTGGGTGTGGATTGTTGATAACCAATTTTTCCCTAGTAATTTTATGCTCAAAACACTTCCAAAATAGCATATATGTGCATATATAAGCACACCCAAGAGTTCTAGCGTTTTTAATGATTTTTAAACCAATTCATTGCCTATTTTAATACAACAAATCCAATAATTATTCCCAAAATTATCATTTTGGCGAATAATTCATTTTTATTCTCACATTTGCACCAAAATATAATTAAGGTAATTTTTGCATATTGTTACAAATTTATATGGTATTTTTAAAGCTAAAATTGCATATAATTGCAATTATA